GTAGCTCACAAAGTAGGATTTTTGCTCACAAGACTCCACAGCTTAGAGGGAGCACTGACCCTGACTGGGCTCAGCGTAAGTTCACTTCATGTGCTCAAAGATGTACTTTTTTAGCCTCAGAATATAACCTTACAATACCCGCCCCCACCAATGCTGGCTGGATTCTGCATTACTTCACCACAGACTATCCATAGTTTACCTTTCACAGGAAAGTTCAAATTACCTTCATTTCATATCTGATTTTATACCTGATCCAGGCTGTTAACAATCCTAAACATGATTTAAACATGGAACACAATGGGGACTTGCGGCCAGGTAGATATATGTATGGATTGGGTTGCAGAAGACATCTGCAGCAGTAGGGCAAGAAAGAGTTTGAAGAGGAAGTGAACGTGTACAGGGCGATCTGGAGAAAGGTTGGCACCTGTTGGGCCCCGGCCCAGTTTAAATAGGACATCGGGTGGAGCTGACAAACGCATCCCTGTGCAGACTTCCATGGACAGAGGATCAGATGTAAATTTGACTGCTGCCCATTAACTAACACTGGCCCACAGATCCCTGCTATGCCACCTACCCAGGTGTAATTAACCTGCGTTATGCATGGCACAGGATAGGTCAAACCCCCCCCCAGGTAAGTCTTTTTTTAAAAGAAAAAGTACCCATGACATCATATTTAAACTGGGCCCTAAGTATCCCTGCAATCAGTTGGATTTGAGTCTCACTGACTGCAGCGTTATCGGCTTTCTCTCAACTGCAACCATTTATTGGTTTTAGCAAATCAGCGGTATAAAGAGGATTAAAAAAAAATAGTAATTGCACAGTTATTATTACCCTCCCCCATCTGACATTAATTATGGTCCCAGTTCTGCAGTATTTCTTTGGAGTTAACAGGAACTAAAGGAATAAGGAGGAGTGGATGGAACTAATAAGAATTCCACTGTAATCTGGGGCTTTTTCTTCAAAATAAAGGTGTTATTGCATGTACAGATCTGTTTGATGCTGAATTCTTAAATTTTTGGGTGCTGTTAGATAACCTGTGTACAAGTACTGTACTTGTGTGTGTACAAGAGGTACTTGTGTGCTGTTGGCATGCTATCATTCCTGGCAGAGCTGGTCAGTTCTTCTGTCCTTCTACTTTGACCCCTAATTGCATACAGTGTTGGGAAATGTACTCAATACAGCATTACAGATTTTTCTTTTCCAGGGTAATGGATGGACCTTAACTCAGTGGAAGAGCATATACTTTGACGGCAGAAGGTCCTTGGTTCAGTCCCTGTTCTCTCTAGGTAAAGGATCCCTGCCCGTTAATTTGGAGGGTAACTCTCAGTTAAGAGTAGCCAATCCAAAAGCTATAAGCACTAATGGTTGCTTTGGTATAAATTTCACATGTTTTCCCCTACAGCTTGTACCAACAAACCTCTTTTTAAAGAGAAAAGTCTGAGGATCTGCAATACAACGTTTTCCAAACCCACAGTCAAAATAATAATAATAATGAGAAAAAGGGTGGGAAAAGCCCAATTAGAAAAAATGAGAAATTAATGGACATCAAAATCAAAATTGTATAGGATAGCAGCAAATCTTACAGTGGAATCCCAAAGATCGCATTTAGAATGGTATAACTCTGCTGACAATTGTGCGGCGAGATTTGCTGCCCTGTAAAACATTAATACCTACTAATTTCTTCTACTTTTCTAATTGGGCTTCTCCCATCCTCTTTGTACACTGCAAATTGTGACATGACCAGGGATTCTTTCAATGCTATTGCACATTAGGATGATGCAAAGATTTTTTGAAGAATTTTCAATTTTCCTTTGCAAACTCTGATGTTTGCACTTCAGCTGAAGAAGAAAACTGCTGAAAGCAGATTATTTGGGGGGGGGGGCAATCTAGCCAAAGCTAGGCATTTGTAAATCTTTTTAATATCTACAGGATGGTAGAAGTTAAATTTTGCCTGAACTGTGAGTTTCCCACCACTTCTTGTTCTAGCTACTATTTACTTCTTAATGCCAGCAATTTTTGTGAGTTATAATTAAAACACATGGGCTCTGATCCAGCTCTAGTTCTGTGTAAAACAACTTGTAGATGTGGATGGGCACGTACATTTCACATTTCCATCAAACGTCTTCTCCGGTTATTCTAGTGGGCAAAAGATAAGCATTACGATGCTAATGTACACATGTAACCAGATCTACATTACCTTCTTGCACATAAGCCTGTCCCTGCAGACAGACTTCATTGTCTGGATGAGGGGGAGGGTCTAAACTAGGCTTGCCAGGTCTCCCTTGGCTGCCAGTGGGGGGTGGGATTGCCAGATCCAGGTTAGGAACTCCTGGAGGTTTGGGGGTGGAGCCTACGGACAACAGGGGTACTATGCCATAAAGTCTACTCTACAAAGCGGCCATTTTCTTCAGGGGAACAGATCTCTGAAGTCTGGCGATGAGTTGTAATTTCAGTGGATCCCCAGGTCTTACTTGGAGGCCTGCAACCCTAGTCTAAACCCTTGGACTCAACGCTGCTATAGCTGATTGGCTGAAATCCTGCAGAACTGGGCCATCAGGTTTGAGATTCTTCTGTGGCTTGTGTTCAAAATGTAAAGTGATTTTTTTTTAGTGTTGCTTTCCTCTAATTAATTCTTAATACCTTTTTTTTGTTTAAAGAAAAGAAAATAAACAATGGACTTTTGTTCCCAGCGTCACTATCTCATGATAACTTTGGCACCTGTTTTGAAGAAAGAAGCTTTAATAAATAAAGGAAACTCATGAACTGTAATAAATAATCATCATCATAATAACTTAAAATCTCAATAAATATCTTTCTCTAGATTTGTCTCTGACTGGATGCATTGCATCAAGTAGTCTGTTCACTCATGATGACCCCAAATAGAAATGCAGTTAATTAAGTGATCTTAGTCCTTTTGTAAACAACACAACAACAAAAAGATCTGCATGGCTTCATGGTGTAGCCCAGCCATGAACTAGTGATTAAAAACACAACTTCTCTTCGCAGAGAACGGGAAAGAGCTGAGCTCTAAATGAGTATGTTCAAAAAGTGACGACCCTTTCAACAAAAAAAAATGTTGGATCTCATTTTGGAGGGACTTCTGAAACTCCAACTAACTGAAGCTTGCGCATGACTATCCCTTGGTATATTAAACTATTTCTGCTGACATCTCACCCCATCCTTAGCGGTGTGCTACTGGATGATGTGGGCGGTCCAAAACCCATGCGGCAGCTCCTCCCATGCTTGCATTTCTGAAACTTTCTGAAACTTGAAGATTCTAGCTGTATCTGAAGAAGAGAGCAGCGACTCATGAACGCTCATACCCTACAACAAATTGTTAGTCTTTAAGGTGCTACTGGACTCTTTTCTATTTCCAAAAATTGACACTCACATAGAGAAAAGCTGCAGCAGGGGCTCCTTCCTGTGTGGTCAGGGTCTTCTCATGTTATCTTGGTGGGACAAAGCACTGCACCGCTCATGGTAGCCTAGCAACCTGAGGCAGAAGAGAACTCAGCGGCTCCTATGCCACCAAGGGAAACTAATCATAGTTGGTGCCCTCTGGATATAACAAAGGATGATATCTGCACACTTCCTGGTCACATCCAGCTTCTAAGGCTGTGCTCAAGATTCATGACACTGGGTGGAGAACTGCAGGTCCAGCTCCAGTATGATGATTATGGTTGCCCTCCCAAAGAGTATCACTCATGCACTCAGTATTAGAGGGTTCTGAGTACATCCCACTATGTCTCACTCAGAACTGGCTTTCCTGTGCATTTAAGCTGGAATTGTGCTTAAAATACTGAAGTATGGGTGTTCATCAAAAGGAGAACACATTAGGCTATTTTTCCTATCCCCCATCCCCAAACATGTGATTCCCCTTTCTCAAATTGGCTATTGTATCCTCCTGAAGTTTAGACTGCCTTCTTTTCTACGGAAGAGGAAGAAGGAAGAAGAAGAAGAGGAGGAGGAGTTGGATTTATACCCCGCTCGCTCGGAGTCTTAGAGGCTTACAATCTCCTTTCCCTTCCTCTCCCCACATCAGACACCCTGTGAGGTAGGTAGGGCTGAGAGAGCTCTGAGAGAACTGCTCTTGAGAGCAGCTCTGAGAGAACTGTGACTGACCTAAGGTAACCCAGCAGCTGCATGTGGAAGAGTGGGGAATCAACCCCGGTTCTCCAGATTAGAGAGTCCATCGCTCTTAACCACTACAGCAAACTTAGCTTCTTTCCATGTTCTTGCTCCACTCCACCCACATCCTTGGGATCTTTGTGTTCACCCAATGATGAATGGGGGCCTCATATACGCAAGTGCATCTGCAATTCTAGTGGGCAGACTTGGTTAGAACCAAGCTGTTTACCCTTGCCCTCTGGTGGAACAGACAGCTGGCAAAGTTGAGTGGAGCAGGGATGAAAAGTGGTTGCGACCTGTGAAGGAGCATTGATAATAAATACATCTGCATCTAAGGGTTACCTCTGACTTCACTTCCTATTGTCACATTATCTGGCACTAATATCTGCCCTCACATCTCAAAAAAACCTTACCACTACTCAGCCTCTCTTAAATGTAAAGGTCAAATTGTGCCTATATATTGGAGTTAAGAAGACCAGTGGCAATTGGTTGTTTACTTCCAGTTCTAGGACTGGAAAAATTAAGAGCGAAGCAAGTTATTGAACGGAAGTTGTGTTGTTAAGCACGTGCCTAGCCAAGTATTGCCAATGATGGGTCACCTCAAGCAAACGGTGTAGATTATCTCCATCCAATCCTGGATCTCCACCCCTGAGCTTTGCCGCCTAGTGTTTTGCCTTCCTGTAGAAACAAAAAAGCCCCGGCTGTCGCCTCTTATCCAATCCTCCTGTACGGGATTTTCAACTAACCAGGCTCCCGTGACCACTGTTCTCCTGTCTGCTTGGTCCTCTTCCTTCCTTTTCAGCCATCACCCCACCTCTTCGGGAGCCTTGGTCCCTTCCAAGAGCATAGCACTGTCCGGACACAAAAGGACGTCACACGCATCCACATTTTTTAGCGGAATGTTTTCTTAATATATGGTAAGTTGTTAGGTCATCGTCCAAAAACGAAAGGTCGTCATCAAAAGCAATAGGCCTGCAGCAAGGTTGTGGTCTGATTTTGTCACTGACCAACTTTCTATTTTGAGTTAAATTGTTTAAAATTTGGTCATATAGGGTTACGGCGGACTCACACGTCCCACTACAGTATCGGAAAATGAGCTCTTCTTTGGTGGGGTATCCCAAACCCAAGTCAGTCACATTTAAGTGTATCTCTTGTAGGACACAATCCCGGTTTTTGGCCTTTGGGCCTCTCCGTCCCTTTCTGCTGCTGGAATTATTATTCTTCTTTGCTGAATTTTGCCGGTTTCTTTCCCGTCTAGAAAAAAACTGAGCTGGTTTATCAGGTGACCTCTTCAGTCTTTTGATGGTCGCTTGAATAAAATCCACCACATCTCCAAGATGCTTGGGATAATTCTCAGGCATGTTAGCTGTTCCAAAAAGAGAGAAAGAAAATAGGTGAATATGTACCTATAAAACATTTCTAAAATGGTTTGAATTTCAAGTTTGGCCATCATAAAAAGTTCTGGGGTAACAAGTATATTAACACCAAAATGCAATCCTTCCTTGATCATATTTAATACTGATGTAACACGTCCTGTAAGATGCTAAGTTCAAAATTGGGGATAACACCTGCGGCACTCAGATCAAAGACCGTTTTCTTTATAACTAGGTCAGACAATTCTTTGCTTTTCTTTGCTTCTGCTTTCAACAAAAATAGCGCCGTTTGTGCCAAAGGTTGCAAAGGTTTTCAAACTGACTAACTTAATCCCCCCTCCTGACATTAACTTAAGTAGTATAACTCTCGCTTCATTGACAAAAGCTTACGCTACAGTGAATAAATACGGTGAGTTTCTATGGCGCCACAATACGGTTAATTGCTTTGGGTACAACAGAAATGCAACCTGATCGTATTCCTGTTTGCTGAGACGTCAGACCTAATGAGTTCATTTGGAGTTACTTCCAAGACAATGTGCACAGGACTCTGGCCTATCATGACCACCGACTGGAGATGTTGAAAGAAGGTCATGTTAGCAACAGAAAAATCAGGGCAAACGCCAACATTAGATCCTTTGATATTTAACTGACCTACAGGGAAAATACACCTATTCAGTACCACCACTTATACTGTATATAACAATGAGTGTTAGAATTTGCTATGCCAAAAAATGAAAAATGCCATACAACCTGTCTTTGGAAGAATGAAGAGGTAAATAGTGCCAGTCTAAGCACAGCAATACCACCCCTCCTAACTTCGTTGAAGTCAATAGGCTCAGAAGCTATAACTGTGTTTAGGCCTGAGCTGCAAAACGTTAAATTTTATAAAGAAGCAAGACAACAAGTTATAATTTTACTCAAAATTGGTCTTTCCCTTTATTTCTGTTTTTTTTGGGAAACAAAGAACATCATTCGTACGACGTAACACACTTAATGAGTTTGTTGCGAGTCTTGTGCCCGTGATAATAGACCAAAGTCCAGCAATTTGCAAGTTGAAATTCGGTTTGCGAATCAGAAGTTCCCCAATCCCTTGTAGGTCCTTGCTCTCTCTGAAATGCTTCACACAGTGTCCAGGCCCAGGAACAGCACACTGGTCATGATGTGGGGATCTAGAATGGGAGGGGAATTGGTGAAAATTGCCCCCCTGCGACCATACATGTGTGCATACACACACATGTGAAGCTGTTATATGAGCTTTGGGGCTGGATTATTGCAACGCGCTGTATGTAGGGTTGCCCTTGAAGCAAGCAGGAAACTATAACTGGTATAGAATGTGGCCGCCCACACTACTGTTAAGGGCTAGCCACTGGGAACATTAACTTGCTCACTTTGGAACAGCTTCATTGGCTGCCAATCTGTTTCTGGGTTCAATTCAAGGTGCTGGTTATGACCTTTAAACCCCTTCATGACCTGGGACCCGCATATTTGAAGGACTTCAGTCAGGCAGCCATCTTGTTGGCTGTCCCACTAGTTAGGGTGGCCCCCCTGGGATCGATCAGAGTCTGGTACTTTTCCATTGTGGTTCCAGGTCTGTGGAATGGGTTCCCTGAAGGTGAGGGGGCCCCTTCCTTGACAATCTTCAGGAGGTTATGTAAGGCCTGGCTGTCGGCCAAGGCTTTTGAGGGGGTTTGAACAGCAGGCATACTTTAGGAGGGGGGGATTTGGGGCTTGCTATTTTTATCTTTGGCTCCAGCCGGGGACGTTTTCACTATCATTGTAAGCCACCTTGACCCAAGAAGAAAGGCAGGTTAGAAATGTTTAAATAAATAAATACTCTGCTGAGGGGGGCAGAGCTAAGCTCCTCAAAATGGTGGCACAAAGCTCTGCATTCCCCTCCCTTTTAACATCTTAAAGGTTTCCCTCTCCCCCTTCACAGGTGATTTGCAGTGCAGCTCTGCACTCCAGCACAGCTGGGAAGGGGGGAAGGGTGTGTGTGTGTTGGGTAGGGTTCCCAAATCCCCCCGGGGGGGCGGATTTCCCCTCGCTTTCAAGGCCCGACTTCCGCCCAGCGCAGAATCGGGCCCGAGGGAAACCCCACCACCCCACGCGCGTCACCCGGAAGTGACGTCGCACGCTGGGGGCGGGGCCACGCCATTTGAGGGGAATTGGGTCTGGGGGTGGGGGCAGTTCTTGCACAATGATCAGTACATCGCCACTTCACAACACAACAGACGGAAAAAGGAAGGGAAAGGGGGAGGGGCAGAGTGGGAGGCAGTGTCAACACTAAGCAGTGTGGAGACAGGGGGTATATATGCCATCCCTTCCCACCCCCACTCATGAGGAGGGCGGGAAGGGACAAGCCAGTGCTTGGCTCTTGTGGCCCTTTCTTTTAGGCCCAGGGTAATGCTGATTGCCACTCTGGGGTCACGAAGGCATTCTCCTCCAGACCAGATCGGCCCACAGATCCTGGAGGTTTTGTGCCTCGTAGAGGAGCTTTTCTCTACCTTAAGGGGTTTTAAAGCAGCTTACAAATCTCCTTCCTTTTCTCTCCCCACAACAGTCACCTTGTGAGGCAGGTGGGGCTGAGAGAGTTCTGAGAGAACAGTGACTGGCCCAAGGTCACCCAGCAGGCTTCAAGTGGAGGAGGAGTGGGGAATCAAACCCGGTTCTCTGGATTTGAGTCTGATGCTCTTCACCACTACATCACACCAGGGCAGGGGCCACTGGGGGAGGGGCGGGGCGGAAGTAGCTGCGAATTTCCTGCATTGTGCAGGGAGTTTGACTAGATGACTCCTGGGGTCCCTTCCACTCTGCTTGCTGCTGCTTCCCCAGCAGTTGGGGAGGGGGGCTTTCCCCGCCCATCAGTGCAGAAGCAATCTTCATTTTGAACTATGACCGGGGTTCACCTTTGTGCACATTTAGCATTCCCAGTCCAATCGAGAGATCTCTGCATCAGGGATCAACTGGTGTGCCTGCTTCATTCTCGAATCAGTCAACCGCTACTGAATGCTGATCACTGATTGGGAAGTACACCCTCAGGTCCAGCCCAGCAGCGGTCTTGCAATTCAGCTCCCATTCTTTTTCATGGGGGCCTGGGCTTGAGAACTTCACAACAGATTCTATCTTGAACGAGACCATTTCCTGCCGGCTCCATTAGATGTCCTTGATCGGGAGCCGTGCAGAAGAGAGAGCGATCATTCGGATGACGAACTGTTATCATCTTTTGATCTTCCGTACTGCACCTTGAAGCAGGAAAAGACAAGAGGCAGACAACACTAACGCTAAGCAGGCCCTTTCCAGTTGCTGAGATTATTACAGAGGAATCAAAATTCACCTGTCATCGTGCTGAAAACGTTAACAGGATTTAAAGGATTAAAATGACACCTGCAGGTAAGAACAGGCTTAAGTAACAAAACGTGTAAGGTGAAATGGAAACCTGATCGTGGCATTCGTTAATGAAATATAACATAAAAGATACCGAGGTCAAATAATCTTTAAATGATTAATGGGGTGCCGGTTCATTACTTTACCTGCTGGTATGCCAGAGTTCAATGGAGGGGGAGGCAGTTCTTCCTCTGTTTTTGAATTCCCCACCAAAACTGACATTGTCAATGGCGACCCTTCTTGCTTATCGGGTGGTGAAGTGTTAAATGCCTTCGTGCATCTGATTCCAGATCCATTTACAAAAATGGCAGCTCTAGGAAAAAGCCAGGATTGGAAGAAATCTGAACTTGACTATTTTTCCTATCATACCCTCAGAGAGATCTCTTATTTTCTGGGAGCCCTTACGGTTTTTACATGAGAGGAGCTCAAAGTGTTTAGAAAAACTCTGCCCTCTCATATATATAATTAGGATTTTCATATAACCTGGGAGGGGTTATGCTGGACCTGCAACTATGTCCTCAACCAACAACTCATCTCTCAGCCCAAAATCTACTGTCTATACAAGTAGCGCTTATCGTTGGCCCCTGTTACATGGTTGTCCTGACCAGGATGGGCCCACGCTAGCCTGATCTTGAGAGATCTCAGGATAAGCAGAGTTGGCTCTGGTTAGTATTTGGATGGGAGACCACCAAGAAAGTCCAGGGTTGCTATGCAGAGGCAGGCGATGGCAAACCACCTCTGTTAGTCTCTTACCTTGGAAACCCTACAGGGTGGCCATAAGCTGGCTGCGTCTTGATGGAACTTTCCACCACCACCACATGGCTGTTCTGAAAGCATTATTGTCTCTTAATTAAGACAAAAAGATCTGAAACAATCCTAAAATTAGGATGCTGGACTGAGATCGGGGAGCCCCTGGTTCACGTCCCCCACTCTGCCATAGAAGCTCACCAGGTGACCCTGGGCCAGTCATCCTCTCTCAGCCTAACCTACCTTACAAGGCTGTTGTGAGAATAAAATGGAGGAGGAGGAGATATATGCTACCCTATGACCCGGCTTTATCTGCAGATATTTTATCGGTGTGTGTGTGTGTTAATGGGGATTTGCTATATTTTTATGTTTTTAATCTTGGAATTGTAAGCCATCCTGAGCCATAGGGGAAAGGCAGGATATAAATATTTAAACAAATACATATATAAATAAATAATAATAAATTACATATATAAATGTAATAAAAAACAACACATGAGGTGCAAACTATACTTTACAGCCGCAGACCCATCTGTTTTAACCAGGGTTTACCTCAGTTCTGTATAAAGCAGGAGTGGCAGTAGGGGATTAAAAAGGTAAAGGTTCCCTTGCTCGAAAGCCAGTCGAGTCCGACTCTAGGGTTGCGGTGCTCATCTCCGTTTCAAAGCCCAAGAGCCAGCGCTGTCCGAAGACGTTTCCGTGGTCATGTGGCCGGCATGACTAAACACCAAGGCGCACGGAATGCTGTTACCTTCCCACCGAAGTGGTCCCTATTTATTTACTTGCAATTTCTTGCTTTCGAACTGCTAGGTTGGCAGGAGCTGGAACTAGAGACGGGAGCTCACTCCATCATGCGGCACAC